GGGATATGACCATTCATACTGATGATATATTTCCAACATATGGTGGATACAAAAAGGCTTGAAATGAAAAGTTAAAAAGTTCTTTGAGGAGAAAGAGACTACATGAAGATAAGATTATGATAAGGTTTTAAGTTGTAACATATAGTACACTTATTAAGTTGTAACATATAGTACACTTATTAAGTTGTAATATACAGCACATTTATTGTTATTTCCTCTTTTGCATCTCCTATTTGCATACCCTATAAACAAACACCATTTTTCATTATCGAAGCATCAAATAAATAAAATATATGAAAATTTATTGTTGCAAAAGGAAGTTGAATCTTATAGTCTGTTATGGAGCCTGATATTTTTTAGGGCTGCAAGTGAACTAAACGTTCGAAGAGCTACTCGTTGTTCAGTTCGATTAAAGCTTGTTTGTGATCGTATAATTAACTAAACAAACAAACTTGAACAATATTTTAAATACTCGATCCATAAATAAACAAGCTTGAACACTAATGTGTTTGGCTCATTTATGTTCATAAACAGCATCATTTGAAGCTCGTGAGCAAGCTCGACATTAAGCTCGATTTGTGTTCGATTCAGAACTCATGAATAAGCTCAATAAAAACTCAATTAATATTTGATTATAAAATTAATAAATATACATAATATAAATATTTTATATTTATTATAACTATATAATTATTGTTAACTAATAAATTTAAAGTAATTAAATATTATAATATATTCTAACTAAAATAAAATTTACATATTTCTTAAATTTTATTGAATACAAAAGGACAAAAGACAACTACGGGAAAAGAGATTTGAAGACCACCTTCGGATGTTGGTCTTTGCTATAGCTTAAAGATTTCCTCCAATAGTTGATCTTTAGTTCGGATAAAAAAAGAGATTTTCTTTCTCAAGAACTGAGTCAAGCTGAACTTGACAATGACTTTAGGGTAGTCATTAGCTTGTGGTTGGCATGGTTGTGCTCAATTCTAACATTATTGGCATGCTCATGACTCCGGCCACTCACCGAAGGTTCTTTGGATCTCATTATGTAGCTCAAAACCAAATAGGAGTTTAAAACGGCATCTCATTGTTGATGTGCATAAAACCAAGGGAAGGATAAAATTATGAGCCAGCAAACTCTATTATTGGACAAACATTGAAGAGCATTAAACTAAGTTATTAGGCCCCGCCACTTCCAATCAATGCCAGACATGCTCCTCATTAGGTGGACAAGGCCACAATTACTGTTATCTATCATTTCAACAAGGAAATAGTTTAATGCACTTTTAAAATAAAAATTAAGAAGGAAAAGAATAAGAATATACACAGGATTGTTGATCTTCATTAGTGTTTCACAATGTATCCAAGCAAGAATGACAAGAATAAAAGTCAACTGACACAACGTCGCGCGAAAGGAGTTAGAAGTGCCTCAACTGCGATCAAAATGACCTGAATCGCAAACAAACTACTTCAAAACATTCGGAGATCCCAACTCCCGTCGCTGCTGAACCCTCGCTCCGGCCATCCCTCCCTCCCCCCCTCCCCTCCCTCCTCAAAACTCCCTGCACAAATCTATCTACAACCACATTCCTCATCTCCTCCCAACTGTCGACCACTGCTTCGCTTAAAACCCTTGCCACCTTTGCAAACTCCTCTTACAGCCCAGTAGCTCCACCAGCTAGCTAGCCGTCCAATCTCACTCAAGCTGCCAACCTAGCCATGATTCTGATAGGAAATACTTGATTTCAAGTATTTCCTAATCACTTTGGCAACAAATCTCAAGAACTGCTGTCCACAGCAGGAAAACAACCCAAAACTGAGGGAAAACAGAGAAAAACTGCAGGAAAAATGGATAAAAGACTTGTATTTTACTAATAGATGCAAGGAAAATAGTAAAGATACAAGGATCCTCTATTCGAGAGGAGGATCACACTCTCCCAATCTCTAGAATACAATCTAGAGCCCAAATCAACAAGAAGAACAAGAGAAACTTCAAGACAAAAACACATAACCCTAAACCTCCCCATTACTCCCTACTTAATGCATGCAATTCAAAATAGATACAAAAGGACCTAATTGCCCTCACTTCCCCTCATTTTGGCTCCAAGAAACAACTTGAATTTCAAGTGGACCCCACCTCTAGCCTTCATGCGGCTTCCGCCTGCTGTTCCGCCCGCCCCCTTCTTCGGTAAAAGCGAACCGGCCCACTGGATTGGGCCGGCTGGACCGGTCCAGGGAGGACCGGTCTAACATTACTGCCCTCCCAAAGAACCACCTTGTCCTCAAGGTGGAAGTCAGGAAACTGTTGCTTCATCCGCTCGTATAGCTCCCATGTGGCCTCGTAGTCAGGGAGATTCTTCCATTTGATCAGGACGATTCTTACTTCCTTCCTCACGCCCCTCAAACCAAACAAACTCTTACCATCAGCCACCTTCTCCCCCTTCACCTAATGCCGCTCAATCAGCTTCGAAGCTCGCTTCTAGAGAACTCCTTTTCCCAGCCACCCCTCCCTCCCTTTCTATCCTTTATTGGTTAGCTTCAAAGCTCGCCACTAGTGAACTCCCTTTCCCAGCCAGCCCTTCGTGCCATTCCATCTGTTCTCTCTCTATACACTCTCTCTCATACTCTCCCTCTACATAGAGAGAAATTTGTCTCTCCTTTCCTCTCTGAATAGAAAAAAAGAGTATTTCTTCCAAAAAAAAAGGAACAAAAAAGAGTCAAAAAGGGGAATAGAGGAAGAAATTTCAAAAAAGAGAAAAAAAAAAAAGAAAGTGTGTTTCAACCCCAACAAAACTGTCGTAGTTGTCACGTGCATAAGGTATTATTCGAAAATCTCAAATTAAAATACCCATTTATTTTAATGCGATGAAGAAAACTATAAAATAAGTATACATGTGTATTGTTCCAACACAATGAGGAAATTTATGAAATAAGCATATATGCGTTGTGTACAATGTTCCAATGGCAATGGGGAAATCCTGTGTTTTTGCTCGTGCAAGTGACTTAGACTTATGTGAGATTTTTAAAGCAAGGTAAGATATAAAACCCCCTATGTAATACCTGATGCTACAAAATCTGGTAAGATTTTTTTTGTGCATATGTATGTTCTAAATTTGAGATTAGGAAGTCAAAAACTGAAGTGGAAAAGTCTAAAACTTTGAGAAGAGAAGTTGGAGCGTTGCGGCGCTTTCTTCACTATTTGGGAAGCGTGTGACCCGTCCGTCAAGCAAATTAAGAGAGTTGTTCTCTTCAAGGTATGCTCCCAATATCCAATTTCTAATTTTAATCGTGATGTTTGTACGAAAAATTACAAGATAAAATATGATTTTAATAAGTATAATACACTTTTCACCGCGTGATTTTTTATAAGTTGTAGAACACTCCGTTCTAGCCATTTAACTATAAGTAATCGAATTTCTACCGGTTAATTTTATTCATACCAATATTTTAGAATTTCATGTTAACTATGGCATTTCTAGGATTGACTATAGTTCATTAATAGTCATAAAACAATGTTTTAAAGATTCTTTATAAATAATTTTTCAAATGCTGAATGTCAAGTATGTACACAAATTATATATAGTGTTAGCCCTAAAACATCATACATGTGACAATTCATTATATTCATGCTAATGTTCAATGTTATGTATATATGTTAATTTTGTTGTTAACAACATATGCATATTATATCATGGTGGAAGTTCTAATATGGGAGATATTAAAGTGCCCCACAAGTAATATTATAAGGGTCTTATATGTTCTATTTTGTTTCTACTTTTGACCGTCAGGTGTAGATGTGGGAGATTGTTTATGTTTCTTGCCCCATCTATCAGATGTAGATGTGTGAGGTTGTTTCTGTTTCTAACTCCATTTGTTATATGCAGATGTGGAAGGTTCAAGGGAGGCATAAGTGATAGTAAAGTTATAAGAAGTAATTGGGACATGTGCCTTTCATATTGCATGTACTATATGAACCAATAAATAAGTAATTATGTTGATTTTTTTGCTTAAAATCTCTGTTTCTGATACTGACCGACAAGTTGAAGTGATACCTAGACTCTGTATAAGTCTATGTTTCTACCATCGATACAAGTTCTGAAACAATAAATGTCATTTTTCTGATACAATTATACAAAATGTAATGTTTTAAAATATTTAAGTTAGCCCCTGTTATAATAATAACTGCTATCTGAATAAGTAGATAACCTTTTTATATTTAATAAATGCAATTATACAAAAATAATGTTCCTGCACCATCTTCTCGGGTTAGATCCAAAATCAACTGATATCACAATAAGCTTAAAAATCTTCACTGGGACCTCTCTCAGGAAAAAGAGAGCTATACTTCTCATAATGTCGAAAGCTCCGTGTCTCTTAAATAGAAAAACGGGGATACATAAACCAAAATCAACCATTGCATTTGGTTATGTATTCTTGATGGTGACAAGAAACTTGTGAGCTAGAAAAAAAAAAGGAAGTTACTTTAGTTGTTTCTTTTGATCCAAAAATAAGTAAAACGAACCTTTCTTCTCTCAGAAGTCAACTGAGGAATGCCCAACCGTATGGCTTCTCCATCATTATTTGGTGTCAAACCAAGATCCGATCTAACTATTGCCTTCTCTATAACTTTTAAACTGAATTATGAGTCAAAAAAATGTAAACAAAAAAATTTCAAGTAAAGAAACGTAAAAAAAATACAAGTAAATCTTTACCTTGACTTGTCGAAGGGCTGCACAAGAAGAGAACTTGCATCTGGTGTAGTGATCTGTGCAATGCTCTTTAAGATTACAGGACTTCCATAGTACTCAACCTGGAAGATTAATAAATCTCATTTCATAAGAAACTAGCAACTTTACACATGTTATCCATCATACAACTTAAAATTTGAAAGAAGATTAAGTTTGCTGCTTTAGACAACTGGCACTCAATAAACTTCTATAATTGATTACTGTCAGTGTAATCCCCTACTGAAGTTAAGATAATGGAGACATAGGATACTATCAAAACTAATCTGTACATATTATTTACCTTAATTTTAAAAGGGCTGTATTTTCCGGTTAATATGAATTTAATTCTTAATAGGATAAAACGATGAAAAAATATTCATGTTGCTGATCTCACATAGTGAGATAAAAATTTGTTGTTGTTGTGTGTTGTTGTTATAGTATTTTACAGTTAATATGACGTAGACATAAGATACTACAAATTGATGTCATTTGCAAGCAAGTTAATATGTTTGGAGCTTATCAGACATACATTACTAAGGATAATCAAATTTCTACCTCAATTCCATCAAGCATGGCCGGATTTGCTCTTCCAGTCCTTACAGCATTGAAGTTTGACCTTACCGTTTCTATTGTCTTTTCCATCCTCTCCCTCTAAACAAAATGAAGGCTCAAAATTTAAAAATTGATACTGCAAACACTGCTAATGCAATCACAGCAATAAAGAAAATGAAATACCAAAAAATGCTTACGGCATCTTTCTCAATCAAGTATTTCTCCGCTTCAATTTCTTCAATAGTTGCACACAGAAAGACTGATGCCCTGAGAAAGAGGTGCAAATTTGTGATAAATAAAATATGGTTTCCAGTTCAAATAGAGATGGGAATTTTTTGAAGAAGAAGTTTGCCTGTTTACAACAATATAATTAGTTGCCATTGACTTGCTCAAGAATCCGGTGGTGCCGTCCAGAGTCCGTACATAATTAGCACTTGATCTCCAAGAACAAAGATTTGCAGAAGTACAAAGTCTCCCTGTTAGGTTCTTTCTCTCATCACAAGAATCTGAAAATAATGCTTTCTTTTGATATCAACGTGAATGTAGAAGAAAAGAGGATACAATAAAAGTTATCCATTTTGCAACCTTAGCACGCTTAAACCATAACAAAGAAAGGCAGAGCTCTAATAATTTCTTCAAGAATTTTGGCTTTCATTAAATAGAAATCAGATATGCTTTCTCTACCTGAATTTGTGAAGTTCTGAACTCTGATTCTATTGGTTTCGTATAGAATCTAAATATTCAATCCTAGAGAAGCTTAAGCTCTAGAATATTTAACTAATATGGGATGCTTAATTTTTCTCAAAACCATCATACTCAGACTTTCAGAATTATATCCATAAAATTGACTAAAAATCACCAGTGTATATCAGGTGCAAATAGCCCTAGACCTACATCTTCGTTAAGTTAGAATTCTTACAAAGGAAGTCAACTTGTGGAAAGAAAGGCTCATAATTACAGCAAGCATGGTAATATCAAACCAAGCTCTAATTAATATGCCCTTGAGCTCAGGGTAATGCACAGAACAACCATAAGCTCATAATCAAATAGCTGGTCAAAGTTAGACAGAATAAACAAAATTCTATGTTGTGATAGCATGACATTGAAAAGACTAGTATTACTTGTAATTGGCACAAAAAGTATGAAATGAAGAAGCTTTTAATTGACCATAAAATAATAAAAAATACACGAATTTCATAATGCTACATAATGTAATTTGCATGATGGGCAAAGAAATATTGTTAGCCTGAAATAGAACGCCTTTTACTTGTCAGCTCAGCTTTAATTATATCGTTTGAAAAAGAATATTTGGGTCTATTCATATTCCAATTCCATCATTTGATGTGCCATACTGCAACTGTTCATAATCAAGCTCTTCGTTTGGGCGGCTTTCTTACTGCTTTTTAAAGCAGCTTTCTAGTATAAAACTTTTAATTTTTTTACTAGAAAGCTAATTTAAAAAGCAGTAAGAAAGTCGTCTCAAACGAAGCCTAAAATACTTGTATCTTCTTATGATCTAGAATCTAATCATCAAGCTGATCAATTATAGGCTGCTTAATCCTTTCCTCCAATCTACCACAATAGTGCCTATTAATGGATAGGGGCGGATCCAGCTTCTTTTTTTAGGGTGGGCAGAAAAAAAAAATTGGTAGTAGATGGGCAAAAATGATTAGGTTTGATAAAATTAGGGCAAAAAAATTTTTTGAGAGGATGCAAAATACCCAAAATACTCAAAATATTTAAAAAAATACCCTCTAAAATTTTTAAAAAAAAATTTGAGGGTGGGCATTTGCCCCCCCTCACTACCATGGGGATCTGCCCATGTTAATGGATGCTCCTTTCCTTTTCAATTCCATATGGTCATTTCTTAATTCTTCTTCCTCAAAAAAAGAAAACATGGAACAATTTTATAAGCATCAAAGAGATCAAAAAAGCATTAACTACTCAAACATCCCTAGCAATGGAAAGCAATCTAATAAGTCCCACCATGAGCATACTTGAATGTAGCAAGACTTATTATCAATTCCTCTTTCATGAATCCTTTATTTTTTTCTTCACATTCATCCTCATGCATGCAATGAAAAAAATATCCCATTTCAATTAGCATCCAAAGGGTTCATCAAGTGCTAGATACTAAACATTCTTATCTTTCCCCTCGTTATAGGAAGAAAACCACATCTTTGTAAGAGAAAAAAGAGAGAGATTAAGCAAACACAAGCTTATCGAAGCTCATCTATGATCCCTTCTTTTCCTTGCTCGTGCAAAAAATGGCACATTTCTACACGCTACCAAGAGATCGAGCAAACAAAGGCTATGAATCATCTTGTAAGTCTTTCAAAAAACAAGAAACTATAGCACAGTATGATAAGCAACCAAGAAATCTAGCTAGCTCAACAAACCCTATTCTCCTTTTTTTCATTCTCCACCGCCTCCTCTGACTCCTATAAGAAAATATAGTATGCTTTAACAAGCCCAAGAGATTCAAAGCACACTAGCTACTTGGCATTCTTCTTCTTCTTCCTTGATCATGCACCATGAAAATACAGTACATTGTTATAAGCAAACACACCTCTGGCAATTACTAGCTCCTCGATGATGCCTCCTAAGGTGGCTGGCAAATAGATGAGCACTCTGCTTAATGATTTCATGTAAGAAAAATGACATAACAGAAAACGGTTTATACTTGTACTTTCTTGCTAGGTGGTCGTTTTTTTTTTTTTTTTGAAAACTACTAGGTGGTCGTTCCTCATCCTTATTTGTTAACACTTGCAAGTTCCTGGTAAAGGAAGAACATAAATAGGATCCCTTGTAAACTACAGGAAATGCTTGCATATTCTTCGTATTCTTCCTCTCGAGGGGATAAGGAGATTATTCTCCCAGGAGAGCGCCACCATGTCGAGTTTGTAGAAAGCCGTAAAGGGAACGAGCAAAGAATCAAAGGCATGAGAGGTTTTAGAGCGAGACCTGTTCTGGTGGCGAGGAGGGATAAGGATGCGGTGGTTTTCGGGTGAATAGGACGAGCGGCGGCACCAACTGCTGCAGGAGTCGAGAAGGAGCGCAGAGCCATGGCGACTGTTGGCTCAGGGATGGCGATGGGTTGGCACGCACCAGCGCGTGACTGTGACGATTGAAAACGGGGATAGCGTGTGAGAGGATAGCGGGTGGATGATGGTTCCAGACTCCGGAACCGAACCAGCCTAGTGTCGGGTAGGGTGCAAACTAGTCCAGTCAAGCTTCGGTGGGGTCTTTGAGTCGAGCTCAATTGTTGAATATTTAGCTCAAGCTTGAGCTCGAACTTTAGTCGAGCTCGAGCTCAACTCCACAGAGAAAAAGCAAGCTTATTGAGCTGCTCATCAAGAGGGAGTTCGAGCCGTATTCGCCAGCATCCATCGACTCTGCTTCGTCGGCGCCATCGTTCGTAGACAGCATCGTCGTAAGCGTTCATCATCGCATTCACCAGCTTCATCATCCGTCACAGCCTTCGTGGCCCGTCGTCGTAAGCGTCCTCCTACTACCTTCGCCATCCATCGCCTTCGTCCAAACCAAATAACGATTTCAATTTCCGCACACGCAAATCTTTTTTCTTGCCGAGCTCGTGTTCCCTGAGCTACTCGACGAGCTCGCAAGTCAAGCGGAAGGGTGTTCAAGCTCGAACTCGATAGGCTATCTAGCTCGAAATTGCATTCGGACTCGACAAGCTCAACTCGTCGAACCTGTTATCGAGTCAAGCTTGAGCCCGCTCGCGAGCCGGCTTGACTCGGTTGCACCCCTAGTGTCAGGTCTGGCTTTAATTTTTTCTATAATATTTTGTAATTTGGGCTTCTAAAAAAAAACTGTGAGAGGGGCGGCTCAATAAAAGCATCAAAAAATAAAAGATTCTAAAATTTAGGTTCATTAAAAAAAATTGAAGTAGGAAATATTATTTCTCCAATATTATCAATTTGAGATATATATTTTAAAATTTGCTACTTATTATTTTCTTAAAATTATACTAAAATAAAAATGGATTGAGCACGAAAATGAATATAAAAACAAAAACTCAAAAAAAAAAAGGTGATAAATGGGTCAAGAAAAACATCTATCATTTTATAAAAGATAGTCAAGTGGCTCAAACTCCTTAGTATACATATAAAAAAAGAACAAAATAGCCTCTTCTCGCATAAAATAAAAAAAATGGATTTTGTTTATACATCTTTATCTAATGAAGAAATTGATTCTTGCAAAGAGAACAACAATCCACCTAAGAATGGTGAAAACTAGCAATTCTAAGAGAAAAAAATGCGCATTCAATAATTTAAATGAGCACAAGTTTCAGGATATCTCGGGGGTCTATAGGAATGGAAAAGAAAAGTTTTTGAAAAGGATTGAAAAAATCACCAATTCACCCCCTCTTGTTGTGACATTCAATAATTCAATTGGTTTTACAACCATCATTTGAACTTTCATAGCTAGATTGAGACTTTTATGTTATTTAGTATTTATAATAACTATATGATAGTCTTAAAATGATCATACGAATATCCCTTTGAAGTTGGAAGTTAAATACGAAAAGTTTAGTGGTTATAGTATTATACACACAATGCAATTTTTTTACTTACAATTCATGCATTATCTAAGTATTACATAATTTTATTTCTATGCATTTGTATTTACATTGTTCATAACATGGCATTGGAGATGTTTTGATATGTAGAAAAGTGCATACTCAGATATGTGAAAAGGGTCTTATATGTTTTGTTTTGTCCTCATCTATCTTATGTGACTTTGGGAGGGATTTTAGCCCCACATGTTAAAAGTGGGTGTGAGAGGTTCTGTGGTACTATTCTGTTCTGATTCTAACCTCACTTATTATAGGCAGGTGTGGGAGATTAAAAGGGGGCAAAAGTAGAAGTGAAGTTATACAAATATATTACTCATAGTATGATAATTATAAATTATGATATCTTAATTAAAGTCTTATAATACTATGATAAATATAATAAATACTTTTATTACTCACAATATAAATTATGTTTATTTTAATGTTATGCCAAATAATGCCTATATTGTATACTCTTTTAATTTTTATCACATTTGTGATTTTAATATACCTATAAATAATAAATAATCTTAATTATATTCCACCTCACAAAAAAAAAGAGAGAAAATGTTAACCTTATATTTGCCCTAGAATGTAAGAAATTAAAGAAACTTGACTTCTATTTCATTTAAAATTATTCCCCAAAAAGAAAAACAATTCAAAATGATTGAAATTCAGACATTTCTACGAATGTTTTTTTTTTTACTTTTTTTAACACGTTCAAATAAAATTTGAAGCTAGCTCAACAACGCTTACTAGAGTTTAATTATGATTGTAATATGAGATTTTATGAGGGGAGTTAGTTGAGACTCGTAGACTTGATTGGACTAGATTGACAAAATTATAGGCTCGCAAATAGGATTGTTGGGTTTGGGATTCATCACACACAAGAACAATAGATCAACCAAGCTAGATAGAAATTATGTAATGATAAGAGGGTTTGTCGACGCAATCTATGGGAATAAGATTTTGTGGGGATGACAATGATAAGATTGATTGCGTGGAGAGACCTATAATGATTGATTATATGGGGAGATTAGAATAAATTTTGAATAAGATACTATTTTAAATTTGCTCATAACTAACTTCAATAAGCGGTTTGCAAGTGCAAATGAATTGTAAATTTATCTAAAATAAGTATTTTGACATATTAGGAAGAAATACGAAGAAAATTTTCCTTCAAAAAAATAAAAAACCAGCTAGGCGATAGACCCAAGTCACCCAACCGCAGATTCTTTGCGCGTTCGAGTGTCGACCTCCCCTTTCCCTTTAGTTCGCTTTTATTATTATTTTTTTCCCTATTTGGATCTCTGGTAGACCATTTGTTGACGCTCCGGCGAATTTTCCTGGAGCTAGGCGACGCTGCAGCGGCAGCGGCGTGCATTCGGAGAAGCCTTGTGCCCACAAACATGGCGTCAGCCAGCGAGAGATTGGAGCTGGTGAAGCTCTGCAGCTCGCGCAACTGGTCCAAAGCTATCCGAGTACTCGATTCTCTGCTCTCTCGCTCGTGTTCCATTCAGGATCTCTGGTATTCTTCGATCCTTTCGTCTTTCTGTATCCTCCTTTAAGTCATATTTTTTCCAATAAAAAATTTAGCTTTTTCATGTCTGTCGCAGCAATCGCGCCTTTTGTTACAGCCAGTTAGAACTGCACAAGCACGTCATCAAGGATTGTGATAGGGCTCTTGAGCTTGATCCTGCTCTTCTTCAAGCTTATATACTTAAAGGTTAGTTAATTTTACTGGATCGAGGAGTCCTTTTGTTCTTTGAATTATGGGAGATACGCATATTTTCCACTGAATCAAATGTCGCCCTAGAAGCTGGCCTTTACTTTTCTGCACTTCCGCCAAACATTGATGGTTGTAAGTGTGATAATGGACTAACTCATTCTCTTTTTTATCAATATATGGGATTAGGGTGGTAGGCTTTATTAGGGGCATAAGTGAGATGAGCCGGCTTGAGCTCGACTCGTTAACGCTCACAAGTTGAGCCACGAGTTCGAGCTTGAGCCTATACTCAACCTCGTATATTACACGAGCTCGAGCTCAAGCCTGACTCTGCTCGAAAGCTCGTTGAGCCGCTTGATTAAATTAAAATATATTGAATAATTCATTTAAATTAGCATTATATAATATATTTTAATAAATTTAAATTAATTCTATAACAACAATAACAACAACAACAACAAGCCTTTGTACCACTATGTGGGGTTGGCTATATGAATCCCTTTTCTCCATTGTGTCATGTTAAAAGTCAAATTCTCATTTAAATCTAATAAAGAAAGATCATTTCTAATATTTTCTAACCAAGTCTTTTTAGGTCTACCTCTACCTATATTAAAACATAAGAAAAAAAATCAATTTAAAACTAAGAAATTGAGCTTACCAATCGAGTCAAGCTCAAGCTTTCTAAACGAGTTTGAGCAATTAAGTCGAGTTCAAGCCTATGAATTTTTTAAAGAGTCGAGATTGAGCTTAGTAAACGAGGCCTTGGATATGAAGTTTCAGCCCAAGTTTGTCTACCACTTGGTTTGATATGAAGTTGTAGGTAGCCCCACTGTCCACCAGGATCGCCACTGCCTCTCTTACTATATGCCCCTTTATCTTGAGTGAATCCAAATGCACGGGCTCATTTTCCTCTTATTCCTCCTTTGATTCTTCTTCCTCATCCACCTCTTCCCCATCACATACAATGAGAACCTGCAATGTGCGATGTGTACACCTATGTCCTGGTGTAAATTTTTTGTCGCATCTGAAACATAGCCCTTTAGCTCTCTTGTCTTGTAATTCAATATCAGCCAGCATCTTGAAATCTCCTTTCAGTCGGGCTCTCGCATTTTTGTCTTTTGGCATCTCCCTTTTAATTGGTATGGTCTGCACACTAGGTGCGATGAAAGCGGTCGCACTGCAGTAAGAACCTCCTCCACTGCCCCATTTACTACTCTTATGTAGTGACTTTTTGTTCTCAATCATCACTGCCAACTCAATCGCCTCTCCCAGATCACAGGGTATTGCCACCCGCACTGCTGCCCTCAATTATAATTTGAGGCCTTTCATGAAGTTGATTTCTAACGCTGCCTTTGATAACTTTACTACTCAGCCTAACAAAATCTCAAATCTTTCACGATACTCCATCACATTGCCATCCTATGTCAAGGCAAAGAATTGCTCAGAGTAATCCTCATCATGCTGGGCTTGAAAGCGCTCCAATAAGCGTTCCTTGAACTCATCCCACGAACGAATTGGGTACCTCGCTTCTCGCCATTGGTATCATGCCAGTGTCTTCTCTTCCAGACATAAAGCGGCGGTCATCAGCCTCTCATCTTATGTCAACCTGTTCACAGTAAAATATCTCTCAATGCTATATATCCACCCATGTGCGCCCTTCCCTTCAAATACAGACATTTTTAGCTTTCTAATCTTCTGATCCCCTCCGCTCTCCCAATGTCCCTTTCCACCCCCCATTCCACCTATGGTGCGAGCATTGTGGTTTCTCCACGGTTCTGTCTCTTGGCTTCTCTGTTCAAAACCCCTCTTTCCTCCAAATTTAGCCCACTTATTCTCTTATTCCCATTCCCTCCTTCCTTCATACTTTACCCATCCCCCTTCTCAAAATAGGCTCCAAGGTGGTGTTTCCTCCTCCAAGAATTTCCACCTTGCCGTCTTCCCTCGGCATGTGATCTTCCTGATTTCTTCTTGCTCCTGGCTGAACCGTTTTAGTATGAAGCTCCAACATTCACTTCATCATTTGCTCCATGTTCCCAAACCTTTCTTCTATCATTGAATGATTGAAATACTTTCATTCATTGATCCCACATCCGCTTGTAGTTGCCCTACTTCCCTTTGTAACATTTCTTCCAACGCCTGAACTCTTTTTCCGGCCATTGTACCCGGATTAAGGCCCTCCCAGCAAAAAACAACAACTTTGACGCGGTTCTGCTCTCCAAGCAGTAGAAATCAAAAGAAGACGAGCCTCCTCGCAGCAAAAATCAACAACAAGGATTTTGGTCCAGAACTTGCTCTGATGTCAATTTGATACGTCTTGGTATCCAAACAACAAATACTCCAAAGGATTCAACAACAAAAACAGATTTTTTATTGATAGAAAACAAATACGAACCAAGCAAGATACAATGGTCCTCTTTCAAGAGGAGGACCTTCTCTTCCAAACCCTAGACGCTGCTAGGATACAACAACAACAACAACATCAAGCCTTTATCCCACTACGTGGGGTCGGCTACATGAATCCTTTTTCTCCATTGTGTCATATTAAAAGTTAAATTCTCGTTTAAATCTAATAAAGAAAGGTCATTCCTAATATTTTCTAACCAAGTCTTTTTAGGTCTACCCCTACCTTTCTTAACATAAGTCAAATCTAATACCTCTACTCTCCTAACCGGGTCATCGCAAGGCCGACGTTTTATGTGACCAAACCATCTAAGGCGACTTTCTCTAATCTTATCTTCTACTGGAGCTACTCCAACCTTTTCACGTATATGCTCATTTCGTATCCTCATCTCTGCTCCAACCTTTTCACCTAGACGTTGCTAGGATCCCTCACAAAAAAGAAAGCACGACACTCAAAATAAAATTTTGCATAAGAATAAAATAAATCATACTATAGACTTAAATAAGCTTCATTCTTCCCTCCTAAGCCAGACTCCTTCCCAAAGCATTTTCCTCCTCAATTTGAAATTCAATTAGGAAGAATTTCCTAATTGATTTCCTCATAATATAATGCATTAATTCCTAATTGATTTCATCCTAATATAATGCATTAGTTCCCTGCTGGGTCCCACCTTAACCGCCTCTCTCTCCTTGCCCACCCCCACTTGGGCCAGAATTGTCTGTTGGGCCGGCCGGTCAAGTGGCTCCTTGGCCCGCTATCATACTCCACAATTCTTATAAAATTCTAGAATTAATGTATTGCGGTCCAACAGCTCGTTGGCCAGTTCCAAGCGGACCCCTGCTTTTGCCGAATTATACTCTTCCACAATTCTTGCAAAACTCTAGAATTAATGCATCTCAACTACGCATACAACACCAATCAGAAAATAGTTGGATAATAAGAACAATGATGGAAATTGCCCATTTGAATGTTCGAGCCTCTTGCTAGTATAAGGAGAAACATCCTCCAAGCTTGCACCACACTGACAAAATCTCATCTAACTAGCACACACAAATTTGAGAGAAAAATTAGAGCTCTAATTCAGTAATTCTTCAAATAATATGGGCCTATGAGGTCCTATTTATAACACAAAAAATACTGAAATTAGTAGTTTCTTAGACTCCCCAAAATCTGGTCAAGAACTGTAATTTTTACTTTCAGCTATCTCAGATTCCAGTAAAACAACAAGTTTCCGATTAGAATCCTAGCAAAAACAGTAGCACATAACGAATAAGGCAATGAACTTTAGGAGAAAACAAGGTATCCGATCTTCTGCTAGAGTGGAGTAAGGAATCAACTGCGACCTGCAACAAATATGAAAGAAGTAGAATAAGGCAGTGAGTAGATTACTCCCCAAATAAGCGGCAGTATCAACAATAACAGGATTCAGAGGGCAGATGATACCCAGTGGCAAATCTCAAAGCACCAACTAGCTACGCTGCTATACAGCCAAAAATCAATTGATATTAACAAGGTGCAGTGCAGAAATCAGGGAAGGGGGAAGCATTTTGAGATCAGCTAGACCTCACTTGGTAATGACAGCTGTAGGCAAAAACAGATCACCACCATCGTTGGCACAGCGGATCCATTTTGCCCAACTTCCCTGACTTCCTAGCCTTCCTTTTTGGCCAATCCAATAAGATCTCCACTATCTCACCACTGTAGCTGGGAGCTCACTGCTGTCATCACGTTAGCTGGTTGTGGTGGACTGGAGATAAGCTTGTGATGAGGTCATCGATAGGAGATTTCGGCGCGTCTATCAGAGACGACCACGGAGATCGACGACCACGATTGCGAGCCTTTATTATTGATTTTACTTGTACCATCAGTTTTTTTTTATATTATGCTTTTATTTTCGTAGTTTCCCATTTTACTCCTGAGGGTAGTAGTTGCTTTTGTAGCCCCAAGTGGCATTTTAGACTTTTGCACTTTATTTTTCTTTGGAGCCTATTTATATGGCCATTGTATCTTGTATGAGGACTAATGAATTATTGAATGAATGAAATTTCTCCACACTTTGTTCTCTTTGTGAGTGCATGAAGTTCTCTTTGTGAGTGCTTCCCCTTGAGATCTCTTAGTGAGTTCTCTAGTTATCTTTTTTTATTTAGTTTGTTTTGCTTTGCATAATATTCTTCCCACTAGAAAATTCCTCAAATTTCCTTTCCCCTTGCTCTTGCCGCCGGCCCCTAGGGAATTCCCCACCGCCGGCCAAGCTCCACCCCGCCGCCCACCACCTCGCCGACGATCACCTCCCATACGCATCATCCCATATTTTTCCCCAACCTCAAATTAGAGATTTGAAATTTCAAAATTTGAATTATTTCCCCGGTCACGTAGCACCCCATTTGATATGCTCCTCTTGCTAGCCATCAACACCTTGATGAGGTCATCGATAGGAGATTTCGGCGCGTCTATCAGAGACGACCACGGAGATCGACGGCCATGATTGCTAGCCTTTATTATTGATTTTATTTGTACCATCAGTTTTTATATTATGCTTTTATTTTCGTAGTTTCCCATTTTACCCCTGAGGGTAGTAGTTGCTTTTGTAGCCCCAAGGGGCATTTTAGACTTTTGCACTTTATTTTCTTTGGAGCCTATTTATATGGCCATTGTATCTTGTATGAGGACTATTGAGCTATTGAATGAAAATTTCTTTTCCATGTTCTCTGTGTGAGTGCATAAAGATCTCTTAGTGAGTTCTTTGCATGAGATCTCTTAGTGAGTTCTCTTAGTAGTAGTTTCCATTGATTTACTCCTCGCCTACAAGCGCCACCATCCACACGTCAAAAGGGAAAGGCCGGCCCCATCCCACTTTGCCGCCGCCTGAGAGATCTCCACCCGCCGGCCACCTTGCCGCCGGATCCTCCCCACCCCGTCCTCCCACCATCTCCTCCCCTCATGACGTCGCTTGGATTTTGATGTTCAAATTTCAAATTATTTCCAAATTTGGGAAGATCCATTTAAGGAAATTTTTTTTAATTTTGAATTTAATTTCACCTCAAATGAAATTGGATTCATGATAAAAGATTTTCCTAGTCATCATCCTAATTTGGAATCAAATCCCCTTTCCCCCAATCCCTCTCTCCCTCATGGATGCCGCCGGCCCCATTCAAGGAGCTCCTCATTAATTGCATAATTAATCCCCTCTCCTATTTTGAAATTCAAACTCTAATTTCAAAATAAATACCTCCAATTTTCTCTTAAAACTGAAATTATTTCAGTTTTCTCAAGCCAACCTCTCCCATTGGTGCCGCCGGCCCCCCCCTTGGCTCTCTCTATTGATTGAGTCATTACTTCCCTCCTTAATTGGGGTTTTCAAATTTAAATCCCAAGTTTTACTCCCCATAATCCCTCCCTAATTGAAATTTCCAATTAATGCATTAATTACATTGATTGGAATTTCAAATTCCTAAATCCCTCACCCCTAATTTCACCAAAACTGAAATAAACTTCAGTTTTCTCTCACCCCGCCCGCCTCCCTCTCTAGTCTCCCGCCGGCTCCCCTCTCCCTTGGCCAAGCCGCCACCCCACCTGCCCTCCTTGGGAAGATCTTGCTTGCGGCAACCATCCGGCTCTACTCCAAGGATGCATGGACGAACCCGAGTGGAACTACGGGTTTGAATACGACCGCAACGGAAGAGTCAATATCTTGCGATCCCAATTCTTTGACGTCGGATTTGACTTCGACGATACCGTCGACGAATACTTGGACCGAATCTTGCCGACGCTTGTAGACTCCATTGACGAACACTTCTCCGTCTACACTTGGATTATCAAAGGTCGATCTACCGTGCCTCCTCCGCCTCCAAGATCCTCTTCCACGGCAACGTTCCTTGGTGCTTCCATCTTTGTGGCAACCTCCATGCTAGTTTGGACAATCTTCCGTCGCTCAACTTAGTCTCCGTAGGAAGAGAGAGCTAAAGGTCTCAAGGTGAACAACTTTGTATTAACTGTGGGATTCCTATTTACTAGCCTTTGTTTTATTGTTCCTTCGCACTTGCTTAAAGAGTTTAGTTCTCTTGTCGTAGTTTCTTTGCCTAGCAAATCGAACACCGCGAATTACTTATAATTGACTTACTTTGATGCATGATTAGATAATTTGTGGAGCTAAATTTAATTCTCTTTTAAATTCTTGTGTAACTCTTCATTGCATCACATCAACTTGTTTCCTTAATTTGTGAATATTCAATTTATATAGAAACTCATGATGTTTGCCATGTGAAATGCAGGGTGTTCTTGATAGTATTTTGTGTGTTTTTGAGACTGAATTTTTGCCTAGGCATCAGGTTCCTCCTGTGCAACGCATGGAAATGTGCTGGTTTATGCTGTGTAATGCTGGTGTTTACCGTTATGGTTTCTTGTTAGCATGCCTTGGAGTGAGTTTTTGTCCAATAAGTTTTATTGTTCATGCTTTTAAATCATAATTTATTTTGTCTTTCTTGTTGCTTTCAGCAGTCTTACTTAGATGAAAGATGAAAATGTTTTCGAGATACTCTATTTGGGTGTCCAACTATTTGTACGTTATGTAATACTTTTGAAATCTATATTTATGTTTGCGAGCTATCATCAGGCAACGCTTTCTCAGCACTAGGCAGAAAGGAGGATGCTTTGCATGTATGGGAGGAAGGCTATACAAAAAATGTTTATGAATCGACAGATATAAATCAGTTGTTGAAACTGGAAGAATTAGTGGAATCTGTGAAACAAAATTCAGCCATTGCCAATGAAAATGATTCCAACGAATTTTCTAATGCTGTGACAAGAAAGCCTGAGAATGAAGTAATGTCTACTGAATGTGAAAGTGATGCCATTGATTGCTCTGATGCAGTAACATGCAAGTCTGATCCTGAAGTTATAAGTGGAGATTCTGCCTTAAACTCTTCAAACACCACTATTTTGTCTACTGATATCGAATCTAGAAGTCTGAGTAAAGCAATTGATTCATCTGATATCATTCAACCAAGGGATGTTACTGAGAAATGTGGCAGATCAGATGAGACTATTAAAGTTAGCAAGAAAATGTTTGTTGCTGGTAATACAATAAATTTGGATATTCGGTTGTCCCGAGGAATAGCACAGGTATGATTTTCAAGTTATGAGGGTTTTAGACTTCTCAATTTTGATGAAGAGTTACCGTATATGTGGATGTTCAAATTTGATGTGTTGTATTGGCCAGTCTTTTTTCTTGTTTTATTGCAAAGTCAAATTTCTGAAAAACACACTTAAATGATATATTGCTACCCTTGTGATGTTTGCATTTATTTTCTTTTCTATGCTTTATCAATTGACTCAGCTGCGTTAACTTCTACTCATAGGCATGGCTGCACCGTAGCTTCTGGTTATGTATAACAGATAAACATAGCTCAAGGTCAACTATTTTGTTTCCTTCATTTCAGTTGTGTTTCAACGTAGGATAAGAAAGGGCCTACTGTTGTAAATGATCTTTCCTTCTTTATAGCCTCTAAATACATTTTTTCGAGAGTGGAGTGACTGTACCGAGTAGTTTGGTCTTACATGATCATGATATATTAATTTGTTAAAATGAAAGTTTAATTTAGCCCCTATTTTAGAAATTTGTGTGGTTTATAATCTTACAACCTTCTTTTTCAAATGTACATATATCTTCAAGAATGATAATTTACAATCAAGCCCATTCTTTTAAGCCAAACTGTGTTTCGATCCCTCAGTTTTTCTAATATCTTTAGTTGAAGTGAGAGCTGTTGGAGAACCTTCCCTGATGATTGGCGAAGTGCACTGTCTTCTGCATATTGATGAAGGCCTTGGGGGTTCTCCATTGCTCATATCTACATAAACTCACTTTTTGTCATTTGTTTATGAAATTCCTTTTTCCGGGACCTCAAGCTTTATTACGAAGCATGCAAGAATTGACTTTTCCTTTATAATCCTTGTTGTAACCTTTAATAATTTGGAGGGTTGTCTGTTCTTATGATTTATGCATAGTTGGTGATCTGGTGATTAGTGATTCCTCATAATATTCAATGTATAACAAGCCATTGCATTCGCAAGGCTGGAAATGATGGCAAGAAACTGTTGAGGATTCCTAGGAAGGTAAGACTACAAACGATTTTAAGTAACTTAACCTACTCAATGTATATGGAATAAAGACCTGGTTTAGAGGGGCTAAACATCTGAATGGTTGGATTTGTTTTGGTACCCATGGAAATATTATCTTTGCAAGAGGAGGTACCTTGATGTATGCTTTTTGCTGATGATATTGTTCTTGTTGATAAGATTAGAGAGGGAGTTGAAGGTAAATTTGAATTATGGAGGTCAACCTTAGAGTCTAAATGTTTTCGCTTGAGTAGATATAAAACAGAACATATGGAGTGTAATTTTAGTAGTAATATACCTAGTGAGGGGATTGTGACTTTGGGCGATGAAGTTATTAATAAGAGTAAACGTTTTAGATATCTTGGATCTATTGTTTATAGTGATGATGAAATAGATGGGGATATTATCAACATAATTCAAGTTGGATGGTTGACGTGGAGGAATGCATCGGGCTTGTTTGTGATAGAAAAGTCCCCCTCAAACTTAATGGAAAATTCTATAAGATGGTGGTGAGACCTACAATGCTTTATGGTGTCGAATGTTGGCCATTGAAAGAGAAGCATAATATTAAGTTAAGTGCTGCAGAGATGAGGATGCTCAGGTGGATGAGTGGCTTTACCCTTAGAGATAGGATATGAAATGAGCATATACGTGAAAAGGTTGGAGTAGCTCCATTGGAAGATAGGATTAGAGAGAGTCGCCTTAGATGATTTGGTCACATAAAATGGCGGCCTTCCGATGACCCGGTTAGGAAAGTAGAGATATTAGATTCGACTTATGTTAATAAAGGTAGATGTAGACCTAAAAAGACTTGGTTAGAAAATATTAGAATTGATCTTTCTTTATTAGATTTAAATGAGAATTTGACTTTTAACATGACACAATGGAGAAAAAAGGGGATTCATGTAGCCGATCCCACGTAGTGGGACAAAGGCTTGATGTTGTTGTTGTATAGATTTGTCTATTCAGTCATGTTTGGAGGGTGCATTGAGTGTTTTTTTTTGCTTTTCAGCTTTCTCCTTGTCAAGATTAACCTAACAAATTTAGGGTAATGATAGTGCAGGCTGTGTTTCTAATATTCTACAAAAATAATTTATAAATTTTGATTTTTGATGCTTATGAAAGCGTGTATGGGTCAATAAGTTCAGTAAAGTAGGAGAAACTTTTATATCTGCACGCCTGCACACAGATTTTACTTGCTTGGTCTTCTAGATTTTGCTTGTTCATAGTGCATGTAGGTTGTAGACTTGTAGTTTAGTGCATCTCAAAACCATCACTTATTTAATTTGTGCCAAAAAAGGAAGTAATATTTTTGTAGGTTAATGAAGGGAACTATGTTGACGCTATATCTATTTTTGACCAGGTATGCTTGATCTCTACTGCATTTCATGACCTTTTAAATGAATAAATTTACAATATCTATTTCAATATTTATGCAGGTTCTGAGTGAAAAACCCAAATATGCTGAGGCTCTTATAGGTCGAGGGACAGCTTATGCTTTTAAAAGAGAGCTCGAAGCTGCTATTGATGATTTTACTATGGTATTCAAACTAATATGTATTAAATTTGATTATTTACAATTTTACATATTATTTCATCTGAAAGTGCTTCTTGTGCAGGCTATTAAGTGCAATTCATCCGCTGGTGAAGCTTGGAAGCGGCGGGGACAGGCTCGTGCTGCATTAGGTGAATTTGAGGAGGCAAGGCTTTTTTTTTCATTTATTTTGAAGGCTTCTGTTTCGTTCTCTTTAATCTGAAGGTGAACTGGATTCTCTGCATTATAATACTAGACTAATATAATATGTCATAAGTACCTCATAAATGTTAATATGCAAGAAATAGTCATACGTCTAAAATAGTCATAATCCCAGTAACAGTATTACATACTATTTTACTTACGCAACATTTGAGGATTATTCTACGAGGTTGTCCACTTGAATATCATTTTGAGGATGTAAGATCACTAGGGTTGTAGCATTATGAATCATGCACGAGAGGAAATCACAATACCTTGAAGGTATGGTTGTTTGCTCCCCATCTGATTTCATTTCAACTACAAATTCTGCAAGTAGTTCTTACTAGACATTTGCATGAAGATGTACCTTGGTGTATGCTTTTTGCTGAAGGTATTCTTCTTGTTGATAAGACTAGAGAGAGAGAGAGTTGAAGGTAAACTTGAATTATGGAGATCAACCTTAGAGTCTAATAATTTTCGTTTGAGTATGTCTAAAACCTAATACATGGAGTGTAATTTTAGTAGTAATAGATCTAGTGGGGGAATTGTAACTTTGGGCGATCAAGTCATTAATAAGAGTGCACATTTTAGATATCTCGGGTCTATTGTTCAAAGTGATGGTGAAATAGATGGGATTATTATTAGTAGAATTCAAGTTGGATGGTTGAAGTGGAGGAATGCATTGGGCCTATTGTGTGATAGAAATGTACTCCTCAAACTTAAGGGTAAATTCTTTAAGATGGTGGTTAGACCTGCAATGCTTTATGATGCAGAATATTACCCATTAAAAGAGAATTATAAAATTAAGTTAAGTGTTGCAGAGATGAGGATGCTCAGGTGGATGAGTGGCTTTACTCTTATAGACAGAATGCAAAACAAGTATATATTTGAAAAGTTTGGAGTAACCCTAGTGGAAGATAAGATTGAAGAGAATCACTTAAGTGGTGTGGTCACATAAAACGTAGGCCTTCTGATGACATATTTAGGAGATTAAATGTATTAGATTTGGCCTATGTTAAGAAAGACTGGGGTAGACCTTGTTGGGGGTGAGGTGAGGAGTAAACACCACAATGATGAAACAAACAAGAAAGTAAAAGCAACGAAAAAGTTAAGGACACTGGAATTTAACGTGGAAAAATCTAAAATAGTAAAAAAAACCACGGAGTTACACTACACCAAGAAATCCATTATGAAAATTAGGAGAAATAAGTATAGATCTCTCTTCTCTCTCATTTTCTCCTTGATTCTCTTCTTGCATGCACCGTTATCAATATCTAACTACTCAAAATACAGGAGAAAGTTAAGTAAAATAATCCCAAGGGATGCAACCCTTCAGAAAAACGAGAAAGAAATCGTTCAGTTGTTGGGGTGCTCAATCCTCTATCTTGCACTGTTGCGGCGCCATATCTAGGCCGTTGCGGTGCTCTTCTCTGTTTCGTTCATCACTGGTAGGGCTTCAAACGAACCGAGCCGAGCCGAGTATGTGAGTGTTCATGTTTGTGTTCATTTAATATCAGCTTGTTCAAGTTTGGTTCATGTTTGTTTGAGCTTTATTATTTATGTTCATGTTTGGTTCATTTAAATTAATGAGTGTTCATGTTCGTTTGTTTAGTGCTTATCGAGCTTGTTCGCGAACATATTTAACGAAATTTTTTTAACTATCAAACAAATACGTTCATGAACATATCTATGAACAAACACATTTATAATAAAAGCAATTGTCTATATAACAAAGACAATGATTATTTATATTTATTAATTTTATAGTCAAATATTAATTATTTATATCTAGCTTATTCACAAGTTCAAAATCAAACACGAATCAAGATTTTATCGAGCTTCTTATCGAGCTTAATGTCAAGCTTGTTCACGAACTTCAAATGATGTTGTTCGCGAACATAAATGAGCCGAACACATTAGTGTTCAAGTTTGTTTATTTAAGAATCAAGTATTTAAAATATTGTTCAAATTTGTTTGTTTAGCTAATTAAACGATCACAAACGAGCTTTAATCGAACCAAACAACGAGTAGCTCGTCGAATGTTTGGTTCGCTTGCAACCCTAAGCACTGGGCACTGAGGAACATAGTGTCGGGGCGCTCGGGTACGCAATGCAGGGGATTTGTACGAAAAACATTTTTTTAACCTAAGCAGTGGGTAAACCCCCGCACCCCCCAACGAATACGCAAGCTTTGAGGTCTGAGATAATAGAATAACCAGATTTATCAACACAATCAGATTCCACTTATAATAGACCTAAAAAGACTTGGTTATAAAACATTATAAATGATATTTTTTTAATGAGATTTAAATAATAATTTGACTCATAACATGATATAATGGTGGAAAAAGATTTGTGTAGCCGACCCCACGTAGTGGGATAAAGGCTTGTTGTTGTTGTTGTTGTTGCAAATTCTACAAGTAGCATCCTTTTAAGCATTTGAAAATGAAAAGTGGCGAATCTGTTGTCTATTGTATCCATGATGTAATCAAGAATTATCATTATATGTTTTTATTTTTCTATATAATTTGGACTCTATGTTTCTTTTTATTTGTATCACCCTATGATGAAATACAACTCATGATCATGCTTGGGTTTGATGCTCTTAGATAATTTTTCTCCATTGATTCTCCACTTATGTTGAATTTGCTTCCTTATTCTTTGGTGGCTAAAAGGGTATTTCATTTTGGTCTATTTTTCCTTATCGGGCTTGGTCCTTTTCTTCCCATGTTGGCTGGTTGCTTGGTCTGCCCCATGTTGGTTTCGATTTTCCTGTTGTATGTTTTCTATGCTGGCTTCAATTTCCTTGCTAGCCCTTGGTTTTCCCAGCTGGGCTTCGGTTTCCCTGCTGCTGGCTGTTCAATTCGTCTCCTTGCTAATTCCTACATTAGTGTTTTTTTTCTTCCCATTAAGTGGTTGTCTTGATTGGCTTCTATTGGCTATTTGGGTGGCACATTTAAGTGGACAATTATGACCTTCTTCTCCTATAAAACATGGCTGATTTGCTGCTGGTAAAGGTTGTTGTGGGTGAAAACAAATCCAAACTTGAGAGTTTCTTTGAGAGCTATCTTCTTCCTACATATTTTCTTCTTCTCAGTTTTCTATCTATTTCTTTTTTCAACGGTTTCCCTTGCACTTTTATCTTTCTTCTCTAAATATTGAGTGTAAGGTGTTGTTGTGTCCCGTTTCTTGGTACTTGCCGAAGGAGCGCCGAGTTGAGCTAGATCATAATTTTTGTGCTGAACCACTGGTTTGATTTTTGCTTTGAGCACCATTCTCTATTTTCATGATTTGCATGTGAGGTGACCTTTCAAGGTTGTTCTAAGAGTATTTTAATTTAGTTTTTGGTTATTTTGTGTGTCTTCTTGTTAATTTTCTAAGTTTCATTTTCAATTGTATATAATTTAGTTGTCAACTACATTCTTAGTGTTCTCCTACTTGTTTTAGAACCTAGATTGCATCAATCCAACTATATCTTTCTGTATATCATATTCAGAAAATGCTTTTAATCTGTTGTATATTTTTCTTGAATTAGCTTGCAATTATGCATATAAATTAAGTTGTTATGATGAATTCTGCAAATATTAGTTTCTTGCAGCAACAAATGCAGTTCAACTGTGCTAAAGAACATCGTTGAAATAAGTATACAGTTTCACTTTTTTATGCAGCTTTTAAATACTGTGCCTTGAGATTTCATGAATGAATTATCGAGAAAATGTCAAAATTGTCCCTGAGCTATGTATGAGGGCTGTTTTAGTTCTAGACCATCTAATGCGTCCAAGTTAGTCACTTCTTAAATTCAATCCAAAACGGTCCATTGAACCCTCAAATATGATCCAAAATAATCCAACATAAGGGCTATTTTGTATAATATTTGAGTGGGACTAAGTTAAACACATTTATAATTTGGGACTATAATTGCACCACAGAAATAGTCCATGGGCAATTTAACTTTTTCTCATAAATTATCAAACTGAATTATTTATCATGTATTATTGTTTGTGATGATTGCTTTTATGTGTTGTTTGGAATGGCATATTCATAAGGGAAATAGGTGACACGTGAATGATTATATTTTGTGTTTGCATCTCAGGTACTCCATTAAATTGACATCTACACTTTAAGCATTGCCGCCTGTTTATTCCAACCATTTTTTTTTTCTTGATTTATAGGCTATTGAGGACTTGGGGAAAGCTTTAGAATTTGAGCCAAATTCGTCTGATATTTTACATGAAAGGGGTTAGTACATTTTTACATTTAATGAGTATTTAAGCTATATCATAAATCTTGCTATGGTGCAGTCTGCTGTATGTCTTCCTGTCATAAGTTCTCTCTCATGTCTATTCCATAAAACTTATTTTTATGAAAGTTACCTCCAAATAATTGGCCAAAGCAGGAATCAAATGATTTAGTCCCCAAACCTATTATACTATTTTTTGTTAAAGCAGGAGGGCTTTGCTGGGAAAAAGTATCAAAGAGAGTTGAAACATAGTAAAGATCCTGTCTTCACAATACCTATTATAGGGTGGATCAATATGAAAGAAAAAAAAAAAACTAAAAGAAGAAATGCCAACGCTAGAATTATTTACAAATAAATTTGTTGGAACTTTTAACCCATTTTATCTAAATAACTCACTTGTCATACTTAATTATTTTGATAGATTTGGGGCATTATAGCTCCACACCTTAAAGAAATTTCTCCCTCCAAATGCGCACAATTCTTTATGAGTCAATTTTCAGGCAATTCAATTAATCAAATCACATCAAGACATTTCAAAATGAATAGTTTGTTGTCAGAAGGCCTTGTAATGAAGAAGAATAGGTTATGTCGGCCACATTACCTCACCTTCCTTGGTAGCAATTAAGCATCACTCGAACATTACACAATCCATTCGAGCACAAACATCTTCTTTCTCACACCAAATCAAAAAGTAGGGTAAGCAACCTTGTTACTGTGCTTTTCCATGATTTCTCAGCAAATTATACTGCAGGAATTGTTAGTTTCAAGTTCAAAGACTATCATGCCGCAGTGGAAGATCTGTCTTCTTGTGTCAAATGTGATAGGGAAAACAAGTCTGCATACACATACTTAGTAAGTTCAAGTTTGTTTCTTAACATTCTTCTTTTTTTTGCTTTGATTTTGAGATGAAGCAATGATATTTTATAATTTGAAACTTTAAACTATACAGGAAATTGTATAAATATGCCTTAACTTTCATACTAGCAAAGCAGAAAGTGAAACCCCCTTAACTCAGAAATCATTACATCCCTGAACTACATGGCAACAAGGATATTCATTGCTGACTTCTTGCATCCTCAACTTCGTGAACTTCCCACTTTTGTTGGACTATTTCTACTTGCTAAAGTGTGTGCTGCCCTTTCTATGCTAGAGACCTAGAATAAAATTTAGTTTACTCGAGGATCATCATATATTTGTTGCGCCAATATTCAAAAGATTGTTAACCAAGTTCATAATATAATATCAAAAGGGACATAAAAGCACACGTTTCTTTTGTGGTCATAACATCGTCCCTTGGATATTATGCATGATAATTGTTTCAATAATTCTATCTCAAGGGTTCGGTGGGGTGTTTCACAAAATTTGAGATCTATGTGAGTAATTATTGAATTACAAGTTTGCTGTCAATATTTTAGGATTGCATTCTTAGAAATTTTCTTTCATGTCATGGGGTTTCCCTTGGAGTTCCCTAAAGCTCCAAAGCTTTATCCTATGAAGCATAGAACCGATCTATGTGAGTAATTATTGAATTACAAGTTTGCTGTCAATATTTTAGGATTGCATTCTTAGAAATTTTCTTTCATGTCATGGGGATTCCCTTGAAGTTCCCTAAAGCTCCAAAGCTTTATCCTATGAAGCATAGAACCCACTTGGAGTTATCTCACCCTTAGAGATAAACTTTAGGGTTAATTTGATTCAATTTGAACCAAATTTAACTTGAATATTCTTCTATTTAGATTTTCTTTGCTTGATGCTTTCTTTAACTAAGATACACATTTCTAAATAACCTTTAAAGTGTTTAAAAGCATTCTAACGACTCTTAGGATCAAATCTTGAGTTCTTTTTGCTTATTTGTTGGAGCGATGAACAATAAAGGGTTTCAATTATTTAGTAGACTTAATCAACCACTTAACAACTCATCCTTTTAATCCATTTAGAAATTGATAGGAAATACTTGTAGATCTCAAGTTTTTCTATCAATAGAGACAAAATCAGCAAACAAACTCACAAAATCTGAGGGTAAATCACACCAAAGTAGTTTTATTGCAAGGGAGAAGAGAGGTGATGGGGGGAAAGGTGCTTGGGGGTTTCGGCCAAAACTAGGAAAGGTTCGGTTAATTTCTTATTTCTGGAATTAAAAGTGGGTGATTGATTAGAGAGATTAATTGTAGAAAACACAAAGGAAAAAAGGTGAGAGAGGCGGCTAATTATCTCCTTAATTGGAGTCCTTAATAAGGAAGGAAATAATTGGGAGAGAGGAGCGGCCAAAGGAAGGGGGGGGGGGGGGGGGGGGGGTTGTCCACATTCAATGGATGTGTCTAGTTGCAATGAATGTTGAAATTGAAATTAATTCCAATTCAATTTCAGATTTGAGATGATTGGGAAAATTCCTAAAATAAGTTTGTTTTAATTTGGAAAGTATTTGAAATTCAAATTCATTTGAATTTGAATTGAAGGATCTTCAAAATTAGGAAGCTCTAAATTAGGAAAGCATTAGTGTGGAGATTGGAAAATAGAATCAAGGGGATTGGGGTTAGCATGGCTAGCAGCTAGGGTTGGCTAGGGAGAGGTCGGCGGCTAGGGAGGGCTCAGTTTGGGTGATTTGGGTGGGGGGCGGACGATGGGGGATTTGGGGATGGTGGGCCGGTGGTTGGAGGGTGGGGAAGGGCTTAGCCGGTGGGTTGGAGGGATTTGGCCGACGGTTTGGGTGGAGATGGGGGAGGGACTGTCGGTTGGGAGGACAAGGGGGAAAGGTCGATGGTGGAGAAAAGGGATGGGGGAGGTAGACCGTGAGCTCGGACTCTTCCGACGGTTGACGGGTATTGCCTTTTCCCTCACTTAGAGACTTCTCCTTTCTCTAGAGCTCTCAATGCTCAAGGGAACTAGAAGGCTGAAAATTTTCATTAATCTATCATCAACTCATATAATAGTGAGGGCCCTCATATATAGATCTCAAAATAAAAGAAAACGCAAAGACTCAAATGCCCTCAGAGCTATAACATAAACTAATACCTATTCGAGGTACAATGATAAACCAAAACATAAATAAAAATAAAATAAATAAATGCATCATAAATAAAGACTCCGAATCATAGCCGTCGATCTACGATTCTTCCGATGATAGATGCGCCGAAATTCTCTGTTGATGTCCTCATCAAAAGTCCACTTTATTGCAATTCGCACTTTTAAGTTTCGTGATTGGCTATTTTTATTGAATAACTCTTTTATATCTTTGTTGTCTCGTTTAAATTGGTATCTTCCAAAACAAACCAACATCATTTATGTAAGAAGGTAACTGAGTCCACATTGATTTGTTGTCAGTATGCTATGATTTTTGGGTGTGTTTTGCCAGATATCTCTTTTGCAATTTATGAAAAAATTAATCTCTATTTTTTTAATTATACCTTAGCCATCTCGTTTATGTATAGGAATTATTCTGTATTTTCAACATGTTTCCTCAACTGACAATTTATTAGAACTTTTTTTTTTCTTTTAGTTTTCACTATATACACTTGCCTATCTTATTTTCTTATATTATGCCATATCTGCCAACTGTTTTGTATGCCATGCATCAGCTACTCGCCATTGAACTATTTAATTCTGTTGATTCAATAAACCTACAATATTAATATTTCAAATGATTTTGGCTCTAGGGTCTTGCTTTGTTTCACATTGGCGAATATTGTCAAGCCGAAGAGGCGCATCGCAAATCAATAAAACTTGATAGAAGTTTTCTAGAGGCATGGACCCATCTTGCGCAGGTATAGTTTATTTGCATATTTATTTTTTTCCTCTTAGAAACGTGCTCTAGTATCATTTTGTTGTATCGTTGGGGAACATATGCATACATCTCTATTCTAAACGTACTCTAGTATCATTTTGTTGTATTGTTAGTGCTTTCTTTTTTTTATTTGAAAAATAAGATTTAGTATTAAATAAATATCTCCATAATTTTAAGTATGATTATCATTGTTTCAAGTGATGTATTAAGATATGCTTTCTTTTACAGTTTGTGGCTTATTTTTTGCTTCCACTTCACAACACGTTAACTTTCTTGGAGTTTTTTCTGGTTTATTATTATAGTATATAATATTTTCTTTTGAAATAGTTGAAGAAAATGAAATTTTAAAGACATCCACTACATTTTATATAGAGTTCCACGATTCCTAGAATAAATATCTTTTTAGTGCTGTTCATTTTTAATTTACCAGCAAATGCTTATCTTACTGTGCAGTTTTATCAAGATCTGGCAAAACCAGAGGAAGCATTACAATGCATTGAGCAAATATTACTTGTTGATGGAAGGTAATACTAGGAAATGTATATTTTTTTCTTTGTGAAGTGCTTTAATGCCAGGTTTTGATCAAGTAACTAGAAGAAATGTTTTTACTTGTGGTTTCCTTTGTGTATTGCTTGATCTATCTTTTAGGTTTGCCAAAGCATACTACTTGCGTGGGTTACTATATCATATGATGGGGCAACATAGGTAATTTATGTTTCTCTTATCATTACATACATTTGTATTTAGCATATGCATTGCCAATTTTTTTCAATCTTTTATTTAGCCGTAGAAAATTATTGTTGCCATGAGCATATAAAGTACATCTTGATTTAATTTTTTGTAAAATTTTGTAGGATTCTTATTGTTTCCTTTAATTGTCATGTTGAATTTTTAAGTGATCTATTTCTATGTTTTATTGGAGCTTAAACCTTTTATCTTTCTCATGGTGATTTCATTGCATCATATATGGCGCTGACTTTCTGGAAAAACTTATACTTTTTATATAGTGATTTTGTTAGTACTATTTGTTTTTCATTAGTTCTTATTTCATCTTTGAACGTCAAATACATGACATAGGGTGATCGAGGAAATTTGCAGTAGAACGAGTTATGAAATTTTGAGATGTGGGGGCATCAACCTTGATCCTATGGGTAAGATAATGAATATTATCTGGGGGTAAATCAAGAAAGAGAATACGTGCTCTTAGAGAGATTGACTTAAACTATTATTGTTGAAATTGTAGTGGCCAAAAAATGATTATAACCTTCGTGAGGAAGATTATGATTATGAATGTTTTGATGAAAATGACAGTGGTAAGTTTGGGTTGGTGTCATGGCTTTGACAGGATAAGTTTGTTGTGGAAGTTCGTTTAAATTCTCATGTAACTTGGCAGGAAGCCTGGGACCTATCTTAATGCTATGTAGTTGATTCCTTCTTGGTGGTATAACAAGCGTTCTACTAATTGATGCCCTTTTAGTACCTATTTGTGCAAGTGCTATAATCTCCATGTCATGGCAATAGTATCAACTTTTAGCCTAGTAGTGTTTTACCTAACATCATTGTATAATGATGTGATACTATGAACATTATAAATAAGGCAATTGATTGTCTATTCCTTAAACTGATTAGTTTGGGCATTACATTTATCAAGTTTATCTTGGATCTATCTTGCATTGAGTGTCTTGGTTGTATGTTATAATGATGCTATATGGCAAATTCAGTATAGGAAGATAACCAAGTCATATGCAAACAAATTATCATAATAAACAATTTATTAGAATTAATTATATACTAATTTCTTTGTGAAATACTCAATTTTCTTCTACTATGATATTGAATTTAGAAACTTCAAATATGCATAAGAATAATGTAGTTTGGGATCATATGGCTGTAAGCATGATTGTTAGAACCCATAGTTGCTATGGAAGAAAAAACGAAGTGGTGGTTGAAGAAGGAAATCTATGACTGGATTTAAGGTTGAAAAGCATATTAGCAAGCTCTGGATATGGGTGTATACATTTAAAATAGGAAGGTTATCATATGTATGCAACAATAAATTTTTTCTTACATTTGTGTAGGATATTTTCTTTGTTTTCTCTTTGGATTAGTCTATAAATTACTTTATATTAAATGCTTTGAATCAATAAGAAAGAATTCCTTTTGGGTTCTCCACATGGTATCTGAGCCATTCTTTTTTTCAATATCTAGTGCGTCTTGGCCTTCATTGCCCGACGCATCTTCAACTTTCATCACAGTTACGCTTCACATCTCATTCTTTTTAACTCGATGCAGAGCCTTAGTGGTTCTGTCACTTGCCTTTAGGGCCTTACCATCAATGGTGATGTTGATCGTAACTCAATAATTGCAGTGCGAGGTCAATCTCTAATTTTTCTAGGATTGATTTCCTTGCTACCTAGCCCTTTTCGTTTTTGAGCTCAACAATTTTTGCTTGGTGCCAACTTCTGTTGATTGTCTTTTGTCATTGATCTCACATGACCTGCTTCTTTTGCAATATGCTTAGAATGTAGATCCCTAGTGCCACAATACGCGCATCGCTCTTAAATTGCCATAACCTTTTTTATCTCTAACTGTTACTTGCTTTAACAACAGTTATCTAGAGTCTCAACAGCCAATTCTTCTATGGGTGTAAATAAGTTGAGTCAAACTCGAGTCAAGACTAACTCAAGCTCTACTCGCTTGTAACACCCCACAGTACCCTTGACTAGTAGTGTAGAGTGTAACAGCTAAAACATATCATTTTCTTTCCTTAATGTTTTTGAAAACAATTAATCACTAGCATAACTATACGAAGTATCTCATAAACCTTCATTGATACATTAACTGAAGCACTTAACATTTTAAACATCCACAACATAGTTACAGAGCCACTAAGGAACATCCAAACAAAATACTTCAAATGAGTGTTTACATACCCTTAGCTAATCCTTACTAACATATATAGAAATAACACATAACATTGAGGTACTTGAAATATAATCAACAACAACTTTATCTTTTCCTTTGCCTGTAAAAACAGTCAGAAGAAAGTTCTGGTGAGCTATGAGGCTCACGTAAGCTATGCAAAATTAAATAATAATAAAAATGAATTGATAAAATGAAATACAATATTAAGCTAATCATTGCATCAACTTATCATTATTTGTAAAGCATCAAAAACATCATATTGAACTTCATCCTTTATGTCATTTGAGATAGATACTGAATATTTAATCTTTTAAAAGAATTGTCTATACTTTAACATATTCAATGAAGCCTAAGTAAACCTGGCATTATCACAATTGAATTTCATAGAGGTCCCTTTTACCTCTTTAGGGGTCCCTTTTGCCCCACCTGCTATGCAAGCTATGCAGGTATCCATTTCCTTGGGGTCCCTTTTGCCCCATCTACAATTCAAGTTTCATATCGGGTCCCTTTTGCCCACCTGACCATGTAGATATCATAACATAACATAACATAGCCAATCTTTATTAAATAAATATTTAATAACTCTCAATTTCATAATTCATCTCTGTTATCACTTATATAGCCGTATAAGTGTTGTAAGAAAGTTTGACATTCATTATCTAACACTTGCAAACTTCTTTCGTTAACATATCATTAGAGCGATTGAACCAACATATTTGATCAAATATCATTTCACTTTCCACATAAAGTACATTTGTTTATACATGAACACTTTAATGAAATCTATTATGGTTGCTATGCAAGTATTCATAATGCATTGAATTACTCAAACCATTGCAAAGACAATAAATATAAAAATCAGTAATTAACTTTACATAACTTACCTCCTTGATGAATCGTCTCTTCCAATTCTCTACTTCACACCCTTCTACAATTGTAAGTCACTATGAAATCTTCTCTTTGCATGTATATATCTGAAGAATCCTAACTAAACTTTTAATATACACTTCTTTAGAACTTGAATGAATTTAAATGATATAAAAGATAATAATAATCATCACAATTCTTACCTTTCTTCCAATATTCTTATCTTCTACTATTTCTCTAAAATTCCTTTTTGATTCTTACTCTTCCAAATCCTTCAAAAGTTTATTGTTCATTATTTTCAAATCAGTTACATACACGTCTGCTATAATTCACCAAATAAATCTAATTCAAACATAGAAATATTTTTAACAGATTTCTAAATTTCCACTTACCGGAACTGTTGAATTGTTCTTCAGAAAATCCTTCTACAATAAGCCACAGTTTTTCTACAGAATCCAGAAATTCTCTCTTCAGTCTTCACTAGCCGAATTCTGCTACAACCGAACATTATTGCAGTGCAGATGCTCCATACCGAACTGAACTACAGGACCCGCATCACTGTAGCGAACTATGCTAAAGTGATTTCTGCGATTCTTTCTTCACAAATCAGTGGCATTTGCTACAGTTCTGGGAGAGTGAAGTTCCAAACTCTCTCAGGGATGAATTTCTGCACCGAAAGCTTCTACAGGAGGCCTTTTTGGATGCATTTTGAATGTTGATAAGGATCAAAGAGTGGACCCCACAACTCTAACTGCTCTCATAATATTTAATATTTTGTTTAACAAGATATATAATATTTAATAAAGACTAATTTATTTTAATTAAACTTATTTAATTACCAAGAAATTTGGGTTGTTACATCGCTTACTCAATTATAGGCTAGAGCTCATATGAAATGCTTGAGTTTGGTCTGTTGAAAAATGATGGGGTTGAGCTCAAGCTGAAGTTGTGATAGAGACTCATTAGAGAAGGATGGGTGCTTGCTAGAGATGGAATCAGCTTGACCTTGATGGAGAAAGCAACGATGGCACGGGCAGTGTTGGGGGAAGTCATGTTGGGAGCTCTCTAGAGATGGTGTCGACAATATTATGACCCAGCTCAGAGACCCGAATTAACGAGGCGTGAATAGACGGTTGAATGGTTTGTTACATTTTTAATTTACTAATAATCTAATTCCAATATACAAAAATGGCCATTAAATCCTAAAAAATTTTGAAGTAAAATGCTATAAGTACTCTCTGAGCGTCGTGCCTACGATAAATGTTTTCTCCTCTTTTATTCATTTTAAGCTTTTGAATAATACATATGTTAATTTATAACATATTAGTGAGTCATAAAAGAACTCAGTGAGCACATTATGTTTCTAAATTATAAAATATAAGAACTTTGAAATAATATGCATGCTCATTTTGAAACATAAATTACTTATATTTTCAATTCATTTGAATATGACAAATAATTATATATATATATATATATCATATATTTATCGTTTTTTAAGTAATACAACCGACAGAGGAGATATCGTCTAAAATAGTACCAATGAAGGTACTTATTTTTCATTTTCATTTTCTTTTCCAGAACCTTCTACATTCACGCATGCGAGTAGATTGCATCTCTAGTCAGTACCATAAGGGGGTATACGCCATTATTCAAAATGCACATGTAAGTGGTGTTTCAAAAAGGAGGATTGGTAAGGCTATCGCATATCTATCTAATCATTTCGTTCATATAACATTCATCAACTTTTTTAGTAATATAAAACATAACATGCTAATTATCATTTAACTCAAAATGACCAATCAGTTGAGTATGTAAAGGGTAAATTATGATCTAGCTTGTAATAAAAACTAAATAAGCAGATATCATTATCTTCTGATGTATTTAATTTTTAAGAGAATATAAAATCATTACTGTAATTAAAAGACATGAACACTCATCTTGAACCTAAGTATTCTGAGTCACACCTCGGGTTCAGAAGGCGGTACACCCTGGCAGCACGGGACGTGATGAAGGGATAGAAAGACCTACTTTGTATTCACAGAGAGAAGTATACATATACATGAGATATAACAATATATATATATATATGTATATATGCATCAGAGTAAATAGAGGAAATAAAATAAAGAACCAATTCATTGATAGAAGTTCAAATAACAAATACATCAAAGTAATAAGAATTCTGGTACAAGCCAACAGAAATATAAATAAAACAAAAAAAAGAAAAGAAACTATCCAGCGCTAAAAAAACATTAACATATCTAACTACTATGAAATAATAAATACCAAAATAGTCTGCTGCTGGTAACCCTACTCTTGAGGTGGCGGTTCACCAAACATGACTGCAAGACCTACTGAAAAATACAACGGGTGAGTTTGATACATTAAACTCAGCAAGTAATTCCTATCTATCAAAGCATAAACGACAAATGAATGAGAAATGTAATATGAACAACCAAAAGATGAGAGTAATAATTTTTAATCACTATATCAAAAATAAAAAATAAAAAATTATCATAAGATATGCTATGTTTTCTACAACATTTTTTAATATGCATGTAGATATGTCAATTAGCTATTAATGCCAAATTATTATATTGTTTACAAATGCATCATACTAAGTATTCTTATATCTCATAATGATCTGTAAGTCATTTCTCGTTTTCAATTCATATATACTCATATTTTCTTTTATTTATACATATATATTTATTATCGGTTTATCATATACCCATCACGGGAAGGTAAACACCATCCTAATGAAATCCAGTAATTTCCTATAGAGTCATCACTCTAGGGGCCCATAGACACTGGCTAGCCAAAAACAAATAGGGTTATACTGACATACTCATAATCACACAATGCTAGTGCATTTACAAATAATCAGCATGTGTTATGTAATTCAGCATGACAAGTACCATTTATATAATCAACATGATTTATAACAAGAGTATCATGTACTGAAATAAATAAAATTGATATGATTTGTCAAGAATATATTTATTGCATTCAAAATAGAGCATCATGAAGATACAAAATTTTATAAACTTGAGGTTATACAACAATAAATCAAGAATATTCTTTTTATGAAACTTACTAATTTATTATGAGCAATAGCGAAGATTTACTACATAATGATTTCAATGTGATCCATAAATAATATCACTGATCTGCATAATATTAACAAAAATTTGAATAGAACTAGCAAATTAAATAATTATAAAAGAATTCTAATACAAATATCTCGGATTACACCCCTAACAAAGAAGGGTATGCTTATACCAAAATAAACAATAGTTACTTACCTCTAGGCGAGTGACATAAAGCCCAAAGCCAAAAAGATGCTTTACTGATCACGCCTTGAGGATGACACTAAAGGGAACACATCCTTGAAACATAAAGCTTATACAAATCGAGCTTAAATTGAATTTCATTAATCAAGCCTCAAAGATTCAGACAAAAAACAATTAAATTGAAAGCATCCAAAATGACCTAGATTCCGTAATTTATGAATTAAATTCTAATCAAGAATGAGAGCTTACAGTCATGAAGAAGAGCCATCCAAAAATATACGAAACCAAGAAAATATATTCAATTAAGATCTAAAGCCACCAATCAAATTTATAAACCCAAGCAATCACTAATAAAATTTTAAAAAACTTATTTTTGTTGAATGGTCTCAGTCAATATGAAAAAATGGAGGAAGATCCAACTTTTATTCAAGAGAAAGGAGGAAAACTCCACCTCGCTTAAAGAGGTAGAAGATGGAGATGTCTTCTTTGCTAACAATGGCTACTATAATCGAGAGAGAAATGAAATGGAATATAGGGAAGAGGTTTGGTGGCTGCTACGAGAGGGAGGGAGAAAAATATGACGTACTAGGCTTTTCTTTGCCTCCTTAAATGGCGAGAGAGAGAGCATGGGGCGTGATAGTCAAAATGAGCAAGAAGAATCGCATGATTATCTCGATTGAGAAGAGATAGAAGAAAAAAAGTGCGTGAATCGGCAACTGCTGCATTCGGTCTTGCGCTATCCGAGCAAAGGGAGGAGCAGGAGCACTTGTGAGCAATGTTTAAAATTGCGTATTCGGGTATCGAGGCGTTTTTCGTTCATGAGGCGAGGC